TTTTCAGGTTCAAAATATTCATTTTTTTTGCTAGAAAAATATTCAGAAAATGATTCAGCTAAAGAGATTTTAGGTAAATTTGGCTGAGTATCACGAACAGCATTCCTACAATAATCCCTATAGTCACAGCTCATAGGTTAAACTGAGGGCGTATCTTTGGTATGACAGGCATTATCGCAGAGACACAATCACGTCTCACTAACCTGCACGTGCATTTGTGTCAAAACACAACTTGAAAGCTCTGGGCTTTGCGTAACAACGCTGAATAGGTCAACCACTCCCTCAGCTTTCACTGAAACAGCTGAAAGAGCTGGTCGTTCAAGGTGAGTTAGCATTGTTCACAGGAGCATTAAAGCGCCGAGACAAAGCAGTTCTGTCTCATTCCAGAGCTGATAAGGGATGGTGTGCTTTGTTCTGTTGTTTGAAAAGATACCAGGTGGAGCAAACTGCTAGCAAAACAAAACCGTGTGAGTTTGAGAGAACGATGACACCCACATTAAAAGTTAGAAAAGTTGTGATTGTGCTTACGGTTATTAGCATGTCCTCAACTAAGTGCACTATTTTAGCAACATATATTGTTTTACTGATCTGTTTAAGCTATGTTTAAATAAGGAAAACCTTTTTTAGAGCTGTAATTGACTTAAAATGATTCAAAATGTACATGAAATGTAAAAATACAAGTTCTAACATTAAAATGCTCAAACCGGTCGAAATCTCTCGTAGTTCTCCAGTCTGTTCACTTGATGGGTGTTTCTAGGGTAATTTTATCTTAACGTTGACTCATTTGTTGAGAGAAACCCATTAGGAATTGGGAAGTGCTCTGCATGTTCTGTAAGACGTTCAGCGGTAAACGGTTTCGACATCAGCAGTTTAGTGTCAGCTGTTCCTCAGACCCTCTCAGCAGGATTCATTTTTCTGACATGTTCTCTTCTGGGAGCCATTAGTATTTTTCTATTACAGTTTCAAACTCTTTGGCATTCTTGTTTTTCTGCTTCGCCGGTCTGTCCAACAGCAAATTGCTTTAGTAGTTTTAACTCATTGCTCTTGAAACGACATCATGCGTGGATGGCAGATTTAGATTTGAAGTTTGCATTTTGTAGAAACGCGTGCTTTTCTTACAACCCTCGCAATCACTTGCAGCTACTTTTAGATTAGCCTGAACCAAATGTCAGTCAGATCCAAACAGGAGTCATGATAACGTTCCCAGCAGTTAACCAGTTTGACTGAAGTGTGGAAGAGGTGACTTCAGGGCAACTTGTTCTTTGTTTACCTAACGTCTGTCTGAACAAGAACAAAGGCAGCTTTCTCTTACATAAAATACACTAACAGTGGGTTGTAATGGGTTTTATTATGGGTCTTTTAAAGGTTTATTATAGAAAACTAAAACTTTTATTTTGAATTGAAGGAGATAAACATTTCGATTTTTCACCATTTCTTTTTACAATTAAAAAAATGTTTCAACAAGGAATAAGGGACAGGTCTTTACAATTTCTTGTAGCTTTTACCTCAGTGTTCCACTCATGTGACTAGATTCATGAGTCAACAATTAAAAACATAAAAACTAAAATTTTGTGGGCTTTTAATTGTAAAATTTATTAGTTTTTCCCCCCAGAAAATTTAAATACAATAAAAATGTCTTGAAAGTACTTTTAAAGTAAATTGATTTAAAAGTAAATTCTCTGTGTCAAATTGCAATTAATAGATTATGGAACTAAATTTGGAATGGAGACATTTTCCTGATTGCCGATCCATTAGGGGTGTAAGAAAATATCGATACACTGAAATTTCGCGATATTTCATATCCCGATACTGTATTGATATTCTAAAGCCCTGTATTGATTTTTAATTAAGGTTTAAAATGTCAACCTTCTTGCCAACCATTCATTTTATGTTGTAGTTCATCCTCTGACCACTAGTTGGCAGCAGTGAGCCAGCCATTTGGCTCCTCTACCTCTTGAATGCCAGAGAGTAAGGGTAGCATTAGCATTGTAAGTAAACATTAGCTTTTCTTTTTTTTTCAGTAAGAGGTTTTTATTTAATAGAATTTTTGGACAAAAAAAATCGCAATATATCATAATATATTGCCTTGCTTACAGTATCGCAATATATCGGGATATATCGTATCGTGATCCCTCTGTTATGATATGTATCGTATCGCCAAATTCTTGCCAATACACAGCCCTACGATCCATTTTAACTGGGAAGGCCAGATCGGTCATTAAACCGTGCCATTTCAATAACTGTTTGATCAATCAGAACCAATTAGTAAACCTCATGTCGGAACTAAGTTCCTGTTCCGAACATGCGTACAGTACATTTGCTCCGTTTTTAAATGCCAGTGTTTGTCAGTACTCGTTCCCTACAAATAAACTCTGTAAATGCGTCTAAAATCTGAAATAAACCCCAGACAAGAAAACGGACGATATAATCCGTCTCAGATGGCACAGTCGATTTGGGTATGAAACAATGTACCTTCTGTGCTTTTAATTGGTGGAACATGGAGCTTAACCGTGTCTACATAACATCTAAAAACACAACAAGACACATCAAACGGGCCTTTCAAAAGTGATCATTTACCCGAGGATGTAGGGGGGAAAAAGACGAAAAAATCAGTGAAAGACGAGGAAGAAATGAGCGTAATTAGTTTGACCACCATGTCATTTGAAATGGCATTGGCAATAACGAATCAGAGAACAATAAAAGATGGAAATGGAGATAAATTAAAGGGCTTGCGTTTCATGGTTAAAATGACAGAAAATGGATTTGAAATATATGCATATGTTTGAATGTGTGCACGCGCCGCTCTGTGTGTTCACATCTGTGTGTGTGTGCGTGCACGAGAGACTCAGTGAGTGGGCGTTTGTGTGTAATCATGTACGTCAGGCCGTCATGAATGGTGTGTTTGAGACAGAGCGGAGTGTGGAGTTCCTTGGGCTGGACCAAATTGGAAACAGAAAAACAAACATTCCCTCGGATCCCCCGCTTTCCTCCTCCTCCTCTTCTTCCAACCTACCCCTACCCCCCCCCGTCTGCTGGCTAGTGGCTCAGTCCAACCTGTCTGGAACAATGTTATGTTCTATAGTCAGGATGGACCACACACGTTTATGGAAGAAGTAGTGGGGGGTACAGAGAACAGGGGGTGGTGGCAGTGGTGATGAAGGAGTATGGTGGGGTGGGGGAGTCTCAGCCACAATCACAGTTGGAAAAACAGAAGCATTTGAGAATTACCGAGAGCTCACTGATGGATTGATGGCCAAGACAGCGACAGGAGGAAAAGTGAGACGAGGAAGTTTAAACCTGATGTTCATGAGGGTGTGAAAGTGGGAGGAACAAGTGAGAGCAGCTAATGTTGGGATATGTGATGATGATAAAAATACTTAAAAAAAAAGGCAGCATCACGGAGAAAGAGAGTGAAAGAAAACACAGATTACGGAAGAAAAACAGACTGTGGTAAATGAGTGAGCAGGATCTCGGCTGAGTCAGAGCTGAACAGGAAAAATATTTAGAGTTCCACTCAGTCGTTCAGATCGTGACGAGTTTTCTCCCCCCGTTTCTTCTGCTTTTAGATTACAGATTGAATTTGTTTTGTTTTATAAAAAAACACTTGCTTTTCTCTCTGCTTCGTTGACACTGTTGCGTGGTCAGCGTTGGGAACAGGAAGCATTTCTTTAAAAGTTCAAGGCAGCTCCTCAGTCAGCATGGTTTAACCTGAAGAAAACAGAGTGTAGAATGACTGTACATTTAGTCCTCACACATTAATGTTCAGAATGTGTATCAGGGTCACATTGGGACGTGAATGGGTTGGAAAAAAATCCTTTTCAAAACATGTTTTCTTTCATAAAAGTCTGTTTTTAAGCTGGGAGTGTCCTTTAACATGACTCAGTTTCAGTAATGACTCATAATGTGCAATTCATTTAGGATTTTTTGAAACAGCAGATAGTCTTTGTCTAGTAAAACACACACTCCAGCTATGGTTAATGTACTATTTATAGTTAGAGCTGTTAAGTGGAAGTGGTCCAGATTTCAGGTAAATCACTGAAAAGATATGTCAAAGATTATTGTGATGTAAGATGTTTAGTAAAAAAAAAAAAACTATAGTGTACACCTCTGAGTTTGAATACTTGTTTCTTTGATTCATGGGTATGTGCTGCAAAAAAAGGCCGAATAGACGAAGAAGACAACGGGGTGGCACAGAGGGAGAGAGGAGTGGCCCAAACTGAGAGAGTGGGGAGATTTTTGTGGTTGGGGCAACAAAAAGGCAAAACCGGGAAGCGAAGAGTCTTGACATTTTACTGCGAGGATTACAGAATAAAGGAAATATTATTGTCAGCGGTCACAGCCAGTGGAAATTTGATATGTAAAAAAAAAAAAGTCCCTGGAAATTACTCATTAACGACCGCGTTGTTCAGACTCATAAAGCAATCAGTTCTGAAATAGAGTGAATAAAATTTAGAGTAAATGGGATCCTGGATTTCATTGAGTTGGGCTTCAGGCTGTTACAGAATAATTTTGTTTTTCTTATTTTTTTAAAGTATTCTACCTAATTGTAAAATTAATGAATGTGTTTGATGAACTGAATCGACCTCCGTCATACCCAACTTCCTCACACAGATATGTCACACGCTGCTTTTTAGTTCATTAGATTTTGGTTAAAACCAAGAGAAATGAAAGTCCAAGGGACTTTGTTTTATTTCGTCATAAAAATAGATGTTTGGGCTGTTAAGTGCCACAAAGTCTGTTTTGTATTATGTTGTTTTGCATTATCAGTGCCATGGTTTTGGGAGAAAAAAAAAAGTACAAACAGACATTTTGCCTGGGAAAAGTCTTGTAAGGACACTTATCTTTTTACTTATTAAGAAGACCACATTAAGCAATGTGTTTTGATGTTTTAAACCCAAAAAGAATAAAAACTATAAATAAAAGTTAAAAGTGGACTCAGTTAGCCAATATTAAATATTGCAGAATGTGTTTTTAAAAGTTGTTTTTCTCTAATTTTCCAGGTTTTGAGGAGACAGCTGTAATTCAGGACCTAAATCAGAGCTGACACAATAAAAGAAGAGCGTGACCCGGCCTACGGTTTCTTATACGGACCCAACGACTCGCATGGCAAAGCGAGCTGCGACAGCCCCGGACTGAAGGCAGCTGGTGTCGGCGGCAGACTTTTTGTAAACACGAAGTGAACGAGCTGAACGTTTACTGCTGATGTTCACGGACCTGTGTGGAGCGGCGTGGACCTGAAGGAATGGAGGAGTACTAGTTTGGGTCTGACGCCTGCTTCCTGTTTTCCATCCCTTTGTTGTGGAGTACAGCGGGACGGCAGTGGAACTGCGGGAGTGAATAAATCTGGCTAATCAGAGTTGATGCTAAAGCCGGGAGTGAGCCATCATGTTTTTATAACCCGATGATCAACAGAGGTAAAACTTTGTAACTTTGAACTTATATGTATCCACAGCTTAAATTTGATTTATTGATAATAAATCAGATTTTTTTTTTTGAATGAGATTCTTTTTCAGCTTAAACGACAAAATATATATTTTCATCTGCATCACAGATATTTATTAGTTTTTTTTATTTCATGAGTGCAGGTTGTGGTATGGATTTTTTTTGTATACACACATTTGATTTGTATTTATTTTTTTTATGCCCCAAGTCACAATTGTGTTCAAAGCTCAAACAATCACAGAACTACTTGCACTATTTACGACGAATAAAGTAACAAGTTTGACATTTGTGGGTTTTGGCAGATTAACACAGCTTCCAGCTAAAGTAGGTTTATGATGTTTATGCGGAGCTACAAAGCACTGTGACAACTTTTTTACTGTCTCACCGTTGCAGGAAGTGACTGTGCATTGCCTCTGAGTGCAATCCGTTTGCTGGGTTTCAGTGTGGAGCTTTCAAGCTACTTGTGATGTTGGAAATCTGCATATTGTGCTGCTTGAATGATCAGTTTTCACATTCGGGAAAAAAATAAAAATAAAAATCTGAAAGTCTAGAGTAAAACAGTTGTCTCATAGCCAGATTTTTACCTGCCCTTCTATCAGACCCATTCTGGTGCTTTCCAGCTCACTAGACCTCATTAGCTGAGCTCATTAGTTCCTCACAGTAAAATTAGAGGTAGCATCTCGGTCGATTGGTTGGCTAACACAAAATGCTCTTAAATGTGCATGTAATTGTTAATCAGTGTAACATTACCTGTGTCTTTTTTGTAGACTGGTTTAGTAAATAAACACACATCCAAACTCTTGCTTTATCCTCTGAAATCTGTCAGTAATGCTGACAGGAGCCAGTGATGCATTTAAAAAGAAAAAAAAAAGTATTGTAACTTTAGCCTGTGTGGAGAGTGAACCATTTTATGCTCTTTAGTTAAACACTAAGATCTATTTAAATTATTTTGAGGGTTAATTTAGTTTTTTATTTATTTATTTTTTTGGCTGCATTCACAAAAGCATAGACGCGGCTGCAGGTGGATGCACTACAGGAAATGCAAATAAGTACAGTTTGAAGTTATTATGTAAGCACGCTGCAGTGGTCTGTGGTGAAAAGTGCACCATAATAATAGTGGAGGCAATTGTTTCTGTTTGAATGCTGTCTGTGATTGGAAATGAAGAGCAGTTTCGGTGCGGAAATCCCGAAATGTCATCAAAAAATACAATTTGTTTCTAAATGAGTGGTTGTGAGTATTTGTTTTAGTCACTGAACCTAGTTTGTATGCTTAGTCCAGTTTATTTTTTATTTTTTATTTTTTCTGAATTGAAGTTGATAAAACTAAAGGTGTGCAATGATGACACACCAAGTAGTTGGAAGTGTATAAAATGTCTTATGTGATTTATAGAATGTAGTTTTTGTGTTGTGCACTTTTGCGGTATCGTTTTGTGTTTCTGTTCAAACTTTCCACATTCAATCAAAGGTTTGGAGCGTTTGAGTCAATTATTGTCAAGATAAATTATTAGTACAGCTTACAGTAAGTGCTGCGCTTCTTTTGCACCATTGAGTGCAAACACATGTGTGTCTATGTTGGAGTGCGAGTTTGTATGTTTTTCATTATGTGGTATTGTGGCTTTGCTTGGTGATGTTATTCAGTAGGGTGGATTGCTTTGAGCTGTTTGATGCTTTTAGACGTGGTTTGGATTCTGTGTCCAACTATGTCTGTGCATGTGAACGTACACGCCTTCAGATGTGGACTACATATGTTCAGGGATGCGCTCTTGTCGGTGCGTGTGTCTTGTGCCATTGCCCCCCTCCCAACCACCCTCTTGCTTCAAAGTCAGGAATGTTGAGCATAGATAATTCAGTCATTCCCACGAGACAGTTTGACAGTCTTGCTGAGCGCAAACGCACAATATGTTAGTTGCTCAAATATTCTCAAGTTTGTTTTCATAAAATTATTGCAGCCGATCAGCCTCACACCGCTTACGAAGTTTACGTAGAGGGGAAAAAACAGCTTGCAGATGGAAATATCTATTAAATCGTGTCAAACTTGAAGATCGGCACAGTGTCCTGAGGCATCGCCGTCCCAAAGAGAGGTGTCTGGAAACAAAGCAGGGCATCATTACAACAGCCTGATGCCCGTGTTGACCTGTTTGCACAAGAGCTTATTGTGCATCTGATGATGTCTTTTCTAATATCTTTACAATAAGGTGTTTTAAATTTGCTGTCAGTTTTATCTGTGTGTTCAGGACTGCAAGATGTCTTCATTTCATACTAATGGCCGTAATAACACACAACAAATGCATGAGCACTGCAGTATTTATGTGCGGCCAAAAATCTCAAAACATCTACTAGTTCTAATTATTTTCAATTAAAGGCTATTAATTTATAAAGACAGATTTATAAAAGGGGTGCCACCACGTGTTGTGGTAATTAATGACTTAATTTGTTAGTTTGCTAATGATCGACTGGTGTAAAGGACACCGAATCAATCAAAGATCAAAATGGCAGATGTTTGTTTGCCTCAGCCTGTTTGCTTCTGTCAGCTCTGTTCCTAACAAGAACAGAATATCACCAGTGCAAAAGACTTGTTTTATTTTCATGGTCTAATGGTTTTGGCCAGTTTCAGAAATTAAATTTTTTCAGAGATAAAATTTTTATGCTTTTTAAGCTCAAAAAAGGGGGGGGGGGGTCGTATTATACATGAATAAATATGGTAGTCTCTACCCTGGTTCAAGAATAAACATATACATTTTAAAGTGTACCACAGTTTTTAAAAGTCGAGCTTTGAAACAGACAAGAATTTCCCCACAACACTGGGTTCCTGTTAATGGACGTTTTCTTCTGACTCATCAGAAACCCACTGTTTATGAATCCCCCAGGCTGTGTGAAGCATGGAGTAACACCCCCCTCCAAACAACTTTCTGTTTTAGCCAAAGCAGGGAAACCACCTGAACAGTTTTGGGTCTATTTTATTTAACTTTTGTCTGTGGATAATTACCACCAAAGTTTTAATTTCAGCCATATGTTCTGCTGATTATTTCACTACTTGCTAATAAAACTACACAGCCTGGTTTATTTGTACCAAAACAGGAAATGGAAACAAACCTGATGCAGATTGTTTTTATGAGGTGATGTTTCAAAAGTTTGTTTTGACTGCCTAAAATGCATTTAAGTTTGATTTGTTTGCTGACACGTTATGGTTTTAGTTTTGTTTGTTTTTCTTTCAGCATTATGTCATAACTACCAAGTTTATTTGAATTAATACTTAAATTGTGGATAAAATAACATTTTTTGGCTTTTTGCTGTAAAGTCTTTCCGGCTCTGCAACCTTTTATAATAAGTCATTTTTCCCCCCTTTTACTAAATTTGTCTAGAGCCACAAAAACCTGCTTGTTGATTAAACACATTTAACTCTGCTATCACACTAGCAGACGTATAATCAGATTTTCTACTCTGTTTGTTTCTCTTCAACAGCTCGAAAATGATTTCCTAGACATCACCTGTTGCTGTACTTAGTCTGTGGAGACGGCTTTTTCCTGCCAAAATCAAGTGACGATTATTAGCGTCTTAGTGTTTTTCTTTTTTCTTTTTTTCCCCTACATTGGTGATGTAGGTGCTATTTTTATTTTTTAACTTTCCTGTGGAAAAAAAAATCATTAATCAAACGAAGGCTGGTTTTCAGGCAGAGGTTCAGAAAATTTAGTTTTCTAAGCATTTGCACACGTTGGAACATTAGTTTCAAGCACAATATTATGCTTACTCCAAATAGGCCTGTGTTAAAAAACTAAGTAGATTGGTCGGGGACATTTGCGTATGCCACCTACCTGTTTGTATCTGAACACACACACAACTTGCGTGTATGCTCTTGTCTGGGTGTGCGCAGTTTTGGGTGTGTGCCTTTTTTTTTTTTTGGTTTGCCCAAAAACTTGTGTTGTTGCCAGGAGAACAAGTGTTAACAAGCTCTGTGCAGACTGTACTTATTTAATCCATATGCTGGTGATGCATACAGCTGTGAGCTGCTCCTGGTGTGTCTGGAAGGAAAATAAAATCACTCTACAGTCGCTGTCTGTTAAGTCAGCTCGACTGTGGCTGCTTATGCTTGGAAAAGGTGTTCCGAAAGGCAAACCTTACTGGTATAAAACATATTTTATCCGTATATTTCACTCTTCACCTTCTACACATTGACATCGTAGAGAAGGTTAATGTTTCACATTTTACATTCATCGCAGTTCTCACAGAGCTCAATGTTCATGGGGATAAACAAACAAACAAACAAACTTGGGCTCAAGCTTCTGTCAGGCCCAGAACCTGCCAGAACCAGAACCACAACACAGGATGATAAAGACGGCTTCCAGGCCGATGGCTAATGGTGGAGCCGCAGCTAGCAGCCAGAACAACCAGTTACAGCAGCCAGGCTGCCTGGCAGCAGCACAACAGCTTGCCAAAACAATAAGAACAGAGTAGCTGGAGGTGGTAAGATAGTTCCAATTGGTAGGTAGTTCTCATTTAGGTTCCCATCAGAGCCAAACGCAACCAAGTCAGTCACCATGACACACTGACGTAACTGTACACTTCTGTGTCTGCTGCCAGTGGAAAAACAGGGGCGTTTGAGTACAAAATAATTGCTAACAAGAATACAAACAAACATGTTTTTGGGGATTATATGCTGTTTGTATATAACTTGCCAAACAACGTCTGTAGTAGGGTTAGGCATAATCCTATCGTGTGCAATGAATCGTCAGAAAAACAATCAATTATTTTTTGGCACTTGGCGATGAATGCAATTAATGCCACCAGGCAGAGTCCGCTCGGTGCTCCTCTCTGCTTCAAATATGACGGACATTAAAAAAAGTTTTGTAATTTATTTATCCATCAACACAATTTAAAATATGATGTATAGCCTGAACTCTGTAACTTTGACAAAATTTGGAACAGATTTACGAAGAGCAAATCTTTCCCACTAAATTGGTCATGTGACCAGGAC